TCTTTTTAAAAATACACCAGCCATAATGTTCTGCTCTATCTCCCTCAACAGGTACTTGTCTTATCATGCTGCTTGCTAATAATAGCTGGCAGCGCACACTGTATTTTTCAAAGCAACTTAGCAATAAACCACCCATAGAGTTAAGTAGAGCTGCAAAGAGTAGTCGATTCAGTGATGACTCAGAAACAGTAACCAGCAACTTTAAAAAAAAAAAAAGAGAAATTGTAGCAGTAATGCCAAATGTAATGGTTTGGAAAAAGGTTAAATGGTTTCTTTTGCTTGTCTTATATCATAGTAAACTGAATATATCTTATATATTTGTCAATGTTCATGATTTATGGACCAAACCATTGATACATTAAAAAAGATAATTAAATAACAGAAATGTCCTTGTTATGTCGTTCTGGCGTCAGTGCCTTGAGAATTCCCCAGGCAGGCTCTTTGAGGATTTTATAGTACATCCTCTTATGTTACTGAACGCTCCAGATCATTGCCCAATGCAACCAATATCACACAGGAAGACGAGAGAGAACATTGCACAGTAGCACAGAATCAAAACCTAAAATGAATCTTTAATCTAAGGTTGATTTTTTTAATGTTCTATCTAATCAAATGTACTGCATTAACAAGCAGACCTCCTTTTTGTACAGAAATGTGCACCAGCTGTTGATTTAGCAAAACACTTAAAGTTGGGCGTCTTTGTTATTTCGCCATATCTGCCTAAAATTTCAATCCAGGAATCCGCTTCAGTGACACAACAATAGCAGGAAGTATCAGTGATAGTCATTTCTTGCTAATTTCCCCCAACAGCAACCTATGTGAAAAGCAGGGCTCATTAAAGACGGAGAGACAAGGATTGTAAACTAACAATGCCATTTTTACTAAGCTACTAAAACATGTATAGCTGCATAAGAGATATCAAAATATTTGCTGATTAAATATTAATAAACTGATTCTTTCAGCTCTACTGCGGCTTATTTTGTCAAATGCACTAAAGCTCTGTTCATATCTTAAATGAGCTTATGCTCAGTGTTTAAGGACACTTAAACAACTGGAAGCTGCAGAGATTTAAAGCAAACAGAAAACAACTTTTAGACTTTTAGATTCTAGTTAAGTCCTCCTTGTGTTGGCAATGAAAATAACTGTATGTAGGTCATACATTAAGTGCAGGATTTTACCTACCCACAGCTTAACCACAGCTAAACAAAAACTCTGCCCTGATACCTTGAGTTGAGGGTCTTCGGTCTGTGGTGAAGGTATTTGCAGTTGTTGCAGAAAACCCACTTATTCCAGAGTGCATGCTAAAAGCTACTGATTTGCCTGAGTTATTAAGAACAGAAAGCCCAAAGATGCTCAATGGTTTCGGTCAATATGGTGTTACTGCACTCTTGCACTGTGTTCTACACATTATCAGAAGCAGCACTTTAACAGAGCAGCAGCCTCAGTACTCTTTCTCCTTCTACAAAGGATGCATTCAGGATCTTAGGTCATCTGTGTTTTTTAGAGACCCGTCCAGCTGCACTTGTAAAACAAGAAGATAGACTTTAAACTCAGCCTGGGTCGCATTGTACAGCGCAAGTGAAATGCAGCGTACAGTTTAAAGACAGCCAGATAGATTGTGATTAAAGCCAGAAAAAATGCAGTTAAAACATGTTCTGTGTAGATATACACCATTACTGCATGTTCAGAAAGAACAGGAAAATAACTTGAAGGCTCTGTAGCCGCATACAAATGAATGGTCAACGCAGAAACTAAACAATTAACACCACCATTTGGTATTTTTTGTTGCTTGTTTTTCCTCTAATTTGGAGCCTCAGCTATATGTACCTTGACCACAAAAGACAAAATATCACCTTTTATACAGGGCAGCACTGACAACTAATTATAGTACTTTAAATAAATGGAAAGTCCTACACAATACCACAGAATCAGCTTCAATCTAACTAGGTTGACCAAACAAACAAAAGCTAACATACCGACTCTGTTCCTGTGGGTTACTGATTAATGTCAGTTTCCTCAGTAAATCTGCCTGTAAGTAAATGATGAAGTTTACTGGGTGTACTCCTCCACAACAGGGGGTAGCTAGCATTTTGAGATAATTCTGCCTTTAGTAACATTGAAAACTGAACTGATTTGTGACCCTGCTGCAGGTATGAATAGAGATGTCGCCTGTAAAGACCTCCTTCACATACCCCACTGATGATGAACATTAACAAAGAAAGAATGGAAAAGTGAGATGAGGTATGACACGAGGGCACAATACGGTGTCGAGCCCCGAGCGCCGCACCAAAAGACCCGAACAATCAACCCCTGAATAATTCACCTGACCTCGAGGGGCCACAAACACACTCCTGCTCTCAACTTACCTGATAACACTCTGACATTTTGATTGACCTTTAAGGCTTTTACGCAGCTTCTTATCAATTTGGCAACACACCACATTCAAGCTGGGACACAAAGTTGGATTTTTTGTTTGAGCACTAGCAGGAAGTTTGGTGTCAAGGATTCACCTTACATGACCCTTCACACCTCTTGTCCATGTCCTTGTTCAGTTTGAATTTAAATGCTGATGCTATAATTCATCTCGGTCTCATTAACAACGTGTAACACACTCATACAATCTATTCATACAATATTCACCTTATCGTATTCCTCCTTCAAATTAAAGTAATTGTTTTTATTTTGTGATGTTTTCAGCTTTAGTAAAATACTCATCTTTTTTCATTTTAAATCTCATAAGTGTTTGTTATATTTACTGTTTTTTCTTTCTATTTTTCGTTTCGTTTTAGCCATTTTTCATTGTGTTTTCATTTTGTCAGTTTGTCCACCACTTTGGTTCAGACTGAATTATCTTAACAACTACTGGATAGATTAACAAAGAGTTGGATAAACAGCAGCCATATTCCCCAAAAGATAAATCCAACAAACTCAAGTGATCCTCTGACTTTCTTCTACAGCGAGGTTCACATTCATGATTCTAAGTGAAAGGACCAACACCTATCGGATAGATTGCCATGAAATTCAGTTCAGACATTTATGTTTAACTCAGGATGAATTGTAATAACTTTGGTGATGCTTTGACGTTTGCTCTCTAGTGCCGTCATCAGGTCAAATCTTAAAATGTCCAAACATTTCGTTTTTGAAATGTGCGCTGTGCCTTTAACATTACACTGTATAAAGCTTAGTAAATTAAGACTTATCAAGGGGGCCCATATTTGTTTGCTAGGCCCCTGTGTTTTCAGTGTTGCTAAGCAACTAAGTACATTAACCCTCTATGGCATGACTTTTTATTTTGGAAAAACATGTTTCACCATGTGTTTTAGGAGCTTAGGGGTCCCTGATATTATATCAATTTTAAAATGTGTGTGTGTGTGTGTGTGTGTGTGTGTGTGTGTGTGTGTGTGTGTGTGTGTGTGTGTGTGTGTGTGAGTGACATCTTGACCTTCACTTTCCTCACTGTCAGACGGAATAGCCCTAACAGCCTGATCGTGTCCCTTCTGCCCATAAAATGTTTTGGTGTCCATTTCCCCCACCCCCCAGCGCGTCACAGTTTCGCCGCTGAGAGAGTGTGTGTGTGTGAGGAGCTCCACAGATTGGTCCATTTGGACCAATGGGTCCATTTGGGTATCGTCACGTCACTGTACCCAGGAAGAATAAGAGAAACCTCCAACGAGGCGTTCTGGGGCAGCATAGACAGGTCTTTTCTGTGTTAGAGTTTTACTCGCTACAGGGTGTACTTTGAGGGTTTGTGACTTTGCAGACCATTTACATGCATAAAAACCTTCATAACACACAAGGGGACAGGTAATAACCGGAAAGGCATGACATGGGACCTTTAAGTATTTCCATTTTTGGCTACTTTTTACTTCTACTCCTCTACAATTCAGAGGTAAATCGTGTACTTTTACTCCACTACATGTATTTGATACCTTTAGTTACTTTGCAGATATGGATGAATGATGGGAAATATAATCAACACTTAAATCAGACTTTATTACACCTGGAATCAATTCACAAACTACCCTGCAGTATACAAAGTCATTCAAATAGCTGCACCTTTACCAGCTTTGATAACACTTTAATGCTATAATAAATATTATTCTGAAATGGACCAATCTGCATAATGAGTATTTTAAGTACATTTTGATGCCAATACTTTTGTACTTTTACTTCAGTAACCTTTTGAATCCAGAACCTTTACTTGTAACAGAGTATTCCTACACTGTGGTAGCCTACTTTACTTTTACTCAAGTACAAAATCTGAGTACTTTCCCCACCTCTGCACTAGTGTGAGATGTAGAGTATGTTTTCTTTTCAGCCACTGATAAGTTAGAATCATCAAACTACTTCACTGTCTGACACTGAACAGCAAAGCGTTTGCTCAACTCATACAGGATATGGATGTATCATTACGCTGTACGATGCTGCTGTGGAAGTTCCTCAACAGTCATCACTGCTAAACCGCAATTTACTGATATGTACATAGTTTCATATAATGTATTCTTCTTCTTCACCTATAACTCACTACAGACTCCAAGCTTCACATTTGAACCGAACACATACGAAATTCAGTGTTGACAACAGAACAATGCTTCACAGACACAACAAAAGACACTTCAACCGTATGAAAAAGAGAGTTAAAAAGATCAATCTAGCCTGTAATGAGTGTTGCAGAAGAGAAGAAGAAGAGAAGAAGAAAAGCCGTTTGGTGTAGTTCTGGAAAGACTCACGATTAGAGACACAAATAAAGTGCAGCAGAAGTCTTTAACTTTTTCTAACTTTCCGTTACTTTCATAGTTTGGACTCCCCGGAGAACAGTAGAGAAGGAAATAGTGAGGAGACAACAGCTTCCTGTTCGCCTGGCTGCCTTTCTCTCTTCCTCCTCCATCTCTTCCCTTTTTCTCCCCCCATAAACACATCTCAGCATGTCAACACCTTCCCAACTTCGTCGTGGCACCTTCAAAGTCACTAAAAAGGCGAGTGACAGCGCGCCTTCTTACCGTGCGCTCCGGTGCGTCCTGAGCTGCGCGTCCCCAAACGTCCTGGAGAGAAACGAGGAAATCTCCAAACTACGAGAAGAAACGAGGGCTAATGTTGTTCCTCCTGGCTTCCCAACACCCGCCTTTGCCCTCCCCTCCCCTCTCTCATGATCTCCCCTCCTCTATTTTTCTCAACCCCTCCCTTCTCTCTCTCCACTCACTCCCCCCGTGGGCGCAGTGTTTTATTGAACCTTTCAGTTACAGAAACTTACAATACCAAAGACATTTAAAACGAAACGAAATTTGGGCCATCATCAGTGTTGTTAGGTTACTAAGCACATTTACTCGAATGCTGTACCTAAGTACAATGTTGTGTACTTTACTTGAGTATCTCCATTTTATGCTACTTTGTCCTTTTACATTTTCTAAATATAGTGATGTCTGAAAACCCAGATGAATTCTACAAGATGAAATGTTGAATGTTGGGTATTATACTGTACAGATGTTCTCAATACTACAAGTGTTGACAACTAATACATATTTCAAGAGAGGATGGTAAATAAAGAAAGCAGTAAGTTAACACATAAACATGTGGATCTCCTCTAGTTCGAAACCGAGTCGCCCTCTCAAAATCTATCTATCTCAAATTGCAGAATTGAGGGTCACCAGTGATGCTACAGGAACTGACACTGTGTGTTTGGACAAGCTGGGCACAGGTCAGGCTAGCCTAAAGTCAGAAATTAAAGGGGTCAAATGCAAAGTTTTAGTTGCATTACTACAAAGAAAGTAATAAAAGTTAAAGTACACAAGAAAACCAAAGATATTGTACATGAGCTGTACAGAAAAACAGAAGTCTTTTAAAGGTGTACAATACAAGAGAATCAGTGTATAATGGTGGCCAATGCAAACAGTAAACACTTTACTGAAGAAAAAAAAAGTCTGTCCTCTTCTCACTAATCGTCAGAGCCTTTGCTATTATGTCCTGTAGTGTGCTGGCTTTGGGAGTAACGGATTACATGTAACGAGATTACCTTTTTTGACATGTAAGTAGTCAATGTAACGGATTAAAAAAAATTGAAAGTGACCCTCCCGACCCTGGTCCTGTGTGATGGATATGTTGTTTGATGAGTGGTATTATTCTTCAACATCCCAGCAACAGAAGAGTAAAGATATGTCAGTTACAGAAAAATGAACATACACTGTGTTAGTGAGATGTTTAACCACCATCTGGCATAGATTGTGCAAATCTACTGTAAAGATTATAATTTTTCTTTCCATTATTACATTGTTCACATACTATTACTGTTACGTGCCGTAATGGGTGCTGGTGTGAGTGTTTGTGTGTCTCTGGGTGTTTCTCAATCGCGAGTAAAGCTGCTTCAGAGCCACTATTTCAAGCATACTACGTCATCGAGTGCTGCCGAAGTACTGTTCCAATCTCCAGTATACTTGGAAATCTACCGAGCCCGGCGTACTCCGTTTGGAGAAATATCGAGTCTGCACATGAGTAGACTTCGCGGTCTTAAAATCCCCACAATGCTTTGCGCACGGACCAATTTCCCCAAATCTGTGGCGGAAGATGTAAGGCGAGGCCTCTCATATTACGCACACCTGCACACTTGCTAGCGTGTTCCACTCTTTGTTTTCCGAATGTCAGGAAGTATTCTTGACTCGCTTCTGAAGCAAGATGCTCGGCAGACATGTGCTACCAAGCAAGCGTACTCGCGATTGAGAAACACCCACTCTCTCCCTCTCCCCCTGCAGGTGCAGCCTCTCCCTTAGGTGCTCCCAATCCCCAATCAGGGCCCCCATAAAGGACCTGAGGAAGGCTGCAGTCGCTCTCTCCTTCTCCTCTGGCTGCATGTGTGCAGCATGGTGTCTCTGTCTCTGTGCTAGTAACCTGTGTTTTGGTGAATTGTTAGATGTGCTCCAGTTTACCTTTGTGTGTGTTGTACTATTTAGTCACCTTCTTTTGGAAGAAAGTTGTTCTTAGTTACTTAAGTTTGTTTTACAATTTGGCTGGTGAGCCTCTTTACTTTTTTATTAACCTGTTAAGCACTGAGCCTGTTTTTCAGGTCTCAGGCTCGAAAATGACATTCCCAGAACAAATGACCATATCTTCACTTCTAAAAGGGGTAAATTAATAATCTTTTTTCTCAAAGCAATGATAAACCTGTGAGTTGGATGTAGAAGTGTCAGAATCAATATAGATGTTTTTAGTTTAAAGTAAACTCAGATTGAACATAGTAAAAAAATGTAAATTATAGGCCGTTTCTCAATCTCGAGGATACTGGCTTCCAAGCCAATATTTCAAGGATGCTACGTCATCGAGTGCCGCCGAAGGACTGTTCCAATCTCCAGCGTAATTGGAATTCCACCGAGGCCGCGTCCTTGGTTTGGGGGAAATTTCGAGGCTGCACATGGGTAGACTTTGCGTCCTTAAAATCCCCACAATGCTTTGCGCAAGGACCAATTTCAAAAACCCTTGCGGAGAATGGCTGAACCGACGCAGCACACATTTAAATGTAAGTATGTAGTGGCGTAGAACATGTGTTGGTAAATATGTTACTTTGTTACATGTTTGTTATCACCAAAAATGTGTTCCGTGAAAGTAAAGCAAGTTCATAATTAGATAGACATCGTGAGGTATTTATTTTCGGTACAGTTTATGTTGAAACCGTTAGAGAGAGTGGCACACTTGTTAGCCTGTTACATTCTTCTTCGTTTTCCGAAGCCGTGGCTTGGAAGCATACTTGCTTCGTTTCTGAAGGAAGTGACTTGGAAGTACGCGACTACCAAGCCAGCATCCTCGCGATTGAGAAACACCCATAGTGTCCATCCCAAATTTCTTTTTTTACTTATAGTGAAAACCACCCTTGAATGATGGGATAGTAGACTAAAAGCTTTAGGAATCCAAGATGTCGTTATTAATATCTATATATATAGATATAAATATATATCTATTTATATATCTATTAGGGCTGTCAGTCGATTAAAATATTTAATCGCGATTAATCGCATGATAGTCCATAGTTAATCGCGATTAATCGCAAATTAATCGCACATTTTTTATCTGTTCTAAATGTACCTTAGAGGGATATCTTTCAAGTTTTTAATACTCTTATCAACATATGAGTGGACAAATATGCTTTATATGTTTGTTTATTATCATTTGAACAATGACAAATATTCTCATGAATATTAAACACAACAACCTGAACATTACAAATATTCACCTCAATTCAACCTGGAACCTCTCTCATACAATAATACTGTGTGTGTGTGTGTGTGTGTGTGTGTGTGTGTGTGTGTGTGTGTGTGTGTGTGTGTGTGTGTGTGTGGAGACACTGTGATGGATCGTTGAGCTATGTGCAGCTCAAGGCATATATGCTCGAATGGGAGCTGCCTGGACGCTGCAATAATGTTGCGCTGACTTTTCGTACAATGTCCCACTGTCTGGCTACCTGCATAAAGTCAAGTGCTCGGCGCAGTTGTCGGCAAAATGTCATTGAAACAGCTCCTTATATCCGTTAGCGCAGCTAGCTAGCACTAGATGCTAACAACAACACGTAGGTGTGCCTCGCTCGCGCGAGTCGCGCCACACATACACACTCCCTCCCGGTCCTCCCGATGGCCAGTCCGGGCCTGCCAGTGAGCGTGGAAGTGTGGTCTGCCACAAGCGGGCGGTAGGAGCGGGGCTGTCAGCATCAGCTTGTCGATGGTATTTTACACTCGATGCGCTCTGAAACTACGGCGGCCGAGGACAAAAAATACACATGCGTTAATCGCGTTAAAATAATTAGTGGCGTTAATTTTTTTTTGCGTTAACGCGTTATTAACGCGTTAACTTGACAGCCCTAATATCTATATATATAGATATAAATATATATCTATTTATATATAAGTGTCAGTGCGATTTTATTTTGTATTAGCGTGCATTTCCTGTTCGGAAAGTGGCGCTGTACTGGGAGTAAACAATACAAGGTGTCCCTATTTTTATATATATATACATATGTATATAATAAGTGTCAGTACGATTTTATATACATATGTATATAATAAGTGTCAGTACGATTTTATTTTGTATTTGCGTGCATTTCCTGTTCGGAAAGTGGCGCTGTACTGATAGTGGCGATTTTATTTTGTAATTCTTAGCGTGCATGCACTTCCTGTCCTGAGAGTGGAGGTGTCCTGAGACTGGCGCCTGCAGGCAGGCTCCCATGCACTGTTGAGATGTCAAATCTGCCTGTTTTACACACTTTGACCAACAGGGGGGTTTGTGTTCAAATGAAGCCCATGATGAAGCCTCATGAGATGAACCCTTTTGCGAACCAATTGGCCGGAAAGCTTCAAAGCTTCATAAGCTTCATCTCGCCATCACTAACACAAGGGAAAGCAAGAGTAAATACTTCTTCTTCTTTGTTTAATGGCGAATCACTACCACTAGGAGCATATCTCGCCACCTACTGTTGATTTATTAAATGTTCATGTTACATCCTTGTCCTCAGTCCAGTGTTTTGAGAAATTTGAAGATCAGTTTGTTAACTTCATTTCTTGAGTTCTATTTCGTTTAACTGATATATATAGTTCTTGAATTCTTGTCCATTTGTAATAAGGCTTCTAGCATTCCACTACAGAATGATAGAAACTATTCACTAATCTGTGAATCATCATTGTTGGAGGCTAGCATATCATGTAGCAGCTCAACAGTTATATCCTTTACCCCCAAACATTCACCTGCTGCTTCCACTATTGTTTTCAGTCTTGACAACATTCACCACTTTTCCAATGAAGGCCACACATTTGTACTTATTAACAATTAATGCATCCTCTTCTATCACACACTTATGTGAACACTTTGTGGAGCTTTCCTTTGCCTGTGGGAGTTTGGGAAAATCGTTTGAAGAGAAAATACTTGCTGCTACTTGGGATTTCCTAGCTATGTTTAGTGATCCCTTTTCTGTTGCTTCAGCATATGAAACCTTGTTTTTAACTTTGTATCTCTCTACCTCCTTTGCCTTTTTCTGCACTTCGCAGCCCTGATACGCAGCACTATGTTCCCCACCACAGTTACAACATTTCAGCTTAGCACCTGCAGCACAACTACCATATTCATGTTCCCCCGCACATTTTGGACACCTAGGCTTAGTTGCTTTGCACTTGTCTGCCACATGCCCAATCCTTAGGCATTTAAAGCACCGCAGAGGTTTAGGGATGAATTATCTTACTGGAAAGCTCATGCAACCTATCATTATCATTATCTTCTGTTGAATTTCCTCCTCAAACTGAAGAAGAACAGACAAACTATCCACTAGCTTACCCTGATACCTAGTAGGAAGACGCTTAACTACAGACACTTTGCCCCCTTTAATTTCTTTCTTGAGTTCTTCAATATTGATTTCTATGGGAACTCCATTGATCACTCCACGCATTTTCCGATTTGCTCCGGGAACATGGCATTTAATTGGAACTTCATTCAGGGTCTTCATTTTCAATAACTTTTCCTGTTGTCTTGCGTTTATCATTTCTACCAACATCCGTCCTTTGCTCAGAAATCTTGCTTGTTTTATCGATCCAATTTCTTTATGAATCGCTTTAGTCAAGGCCACTGGGTGTAATTTATTTGCGGTTTGTTCACCAAACTCCACAATCACTTTCCACTCTTCATTCTCAATCTTTTTCTTTGTTCTCTTCATTTCATTCTGCGAATCAGACTCACTGAGACTGTCACTTGACATGTCTATCTTCTTTCTTGAACTCTTTGTTCTTACTTCGTTCCATCCTCCTTCTCCTTCAGATGCACTTTCCATACCATTGCTTTCAATATTCACCACTCCAGGACTCAAAGACGTCATTCCACCGAGGGCCTGACGGTAACTTCCTGCTACTCACTCTGAGCCTCCCCCAGCCATCCACATGCGTCTCTCAGGTCGGCCAGCGCAGCTGTTGAGCTCCTGCCAAGAGTAAATACACAACGGTAATCACAAGATAAGACACAGCTGGGGGGGGGGGAGGTGAAACACAGGCAACAGGTGAACACAATCAGACAATCAGACAGGAGGGGAAACACAGAGGAAGCAACTGCAGACATGAGACATGGGGTGCACACCTTTCAAAGTAAAACAGGAAACCGACAGACTGTGACCATTCAAAATAAACAGATCATGACAGAAATAATATTTTATGTACGTGTGATCTGTGGGAAAACTGCAAAAGGTCGGAACTGCTACATTCTCAGGCTACATAAAGTTGTCTCTGGTGCAAAAACACTAAATGCAGTATTATGCGCACATAAGTTAGGTCAACAGTTTGTGCAATATTTACTAGTTAAAATTGTTTTGTGTCAGACGAAACGTGCATTTGCCTATCCTAATTACAGGAGATCGTACTGTACTGATATTTGAAATATAACTAAAGTAAAATAAAAAGTAATTTACTTATGTGTGAAATGTGGGAAACTTAAATGCACTCTTCCCCCAACACAATACAGTTAACAGAAAAAGTGTATCTATTTGACTGCTGTAGATTAAGATTTTACATACCACCTCATTAAATGTGATTCCTAATTTTTAAGGAATCAATGTACCTAAGTAGATACAACAAATGCTTCAATTAAATAATATATAGGGCTGCAACTTAAAAACTATTTACGATTATTTTTGTCGATTAAACTGTTGAATATGTTCATGAATAATCCGTAGTTGGTTTTATACATTACATAATATGGAGAAAAATGGCCATCAGTGTTTTTCAAAGCCCAACATGACCTCTTGTTTTGTCCATACATTAAATATATTTAGTTCATTGCCATAGAGAAGTAAAGAAAGTATTCACAATAAAAAAGCCAGAATCGTATCATGTTTTTATTTTTCTCAAAATATTACTCAAACTGATTAAACATTTACTAAAATAGTTGTCAAACAATAAAATAGTTGACAACTGTGATACAATGGATTCTTATGTGAATATTTTTCGAATAATTGATAATGGTTGCAGATCCATATGATTCAATCAACACAGTTTAATTAACATGGTAGTACACAATAATCCCATCAGCCACAAATCAAAACAAACATTAGACATGATTATTATTCTTAGTTGCAGATCATTCTTTTTACATTGATACACTGTGTCACCGGAAAGTCTTAATATGCGTTTTGATATAGAACCTTCCTTTTGATTATACCATGAAATAGAATAAACCAATAAACTGTAATTTGTTATTTTTTTGACTTTTTGGGAATCTGAAATAAAGATTGTATTTTGCATTTAGGTTTTTTAGCCATCATTAAATAATTTTAAAACTACTTTTGTATGCTGGCTGTATGTTAATACAAAGCTGTAGTATAACAACCTTACATTATTATCTTTTGAAAAGGCCTGAAAAAACAGTTTTCTCTAAATAAAAAAGGACTTGGACTTGAGCCTTTTAACTTGGAAATACTTGCTAACTTTCCCTAAACCTAAAGACTAAAAAGTATTTGATATGTTATTTAAAAAATGTGCCACTAATAAATTCACGTTAATTATTTATTTACAGGATCATAACGTTAATGCTGGAGGTCATGTTATTAGCCATTTTCATTAGGCTGCACTGTGTGATATAACCACCAAGGGGAGCTCTGTTCTCAGTAAAGAAATGTACACACGCTGATGTTAGAAAAAGAAAAAGAGAGGACATCGTTTTTTATCTTTGAAGGCACATTAATACAATAATACAGGGTTTCTGTATTTCTCCAACTTGTCCCTTTTTTCTTTTTAGTACCAGTTTAGTTTTGTCCATATTTAAGATTAAACTACAGGTTGAAGCAGGAAGTTATTCAATGTTCATTAAAAGACAGCACACATAGATTTTTTTGTTTCTGATTCCTCTGTAATACCTCTGGTTCAAAAAGTCTCAAGGAAAGACACCAAAAAAATATCTTTCTGATTTAAAAAAAAAACTGTAATCAAGCCAATATAACCTTTATTTGTTTCTGTATAGGCTATCAGTCTTTTTTTCACACATATTTTTATCACAATGGATCCTTTATTAAAAAGTTTAAATTAATTCAGAATTTTTTTTTAATGGATGATATTAAAACTCCGAATGTTGTCCCAAATATTAATGGACACTATTTCATGTTTTAGATTCTCATTTTTCTGTTTTCCTGGGTGATTTTACTTATTATAATATGTATTGTTGGAGGAAGCCTAGCCTAGTATAGAGGTTTTTATTGCCAACGACTGCGTCACTTTAATTCTTGTGAAGAAGATAATAAAGAACTTGAAACTAATCCACCTTAAAAGCAAAAAAAAAGAAATATCAGTCGACCTTTAAAATGAAAACATAGGGGGCTCGGTTGAGTGACGTTTCTCCCGCTGATTGGCTGTATTTTCAGGGTATGCTGGCATGCAGATGAGGGGGGTGGGCTCGTGGAAACGAGTAGCTGACGTCATTTCCCCTATTCGCATAGAGCGAAACAAACATGGCGATAGAGTCGAGTGGACGGGGGTTTACGCTAACTTTATTCGTGTTTTCTTGTGTTTTTGCGGGCAGGCAAGCCCTGGAGGCGCCGGCGGAGACAAGACTCGGCCCCCGGATACTCGGCATGAGGCTGGAGAGGAGCGACACGCCGGCCGGGACCACCGAAAGAGGGGTTATTCAGGTGACCGAGGGCAGCGACACCCTCTTCAGGTTCTACGGGCTCCGCTTGCGCTCAAACAGCTCTGCTCTCATCAAGTTTATGGAACTTTACTCCAGCGATAAAGAGGATGATAGTTTCGGCGCCATCATGCACCCCTTCAATAGGACTTGTCCGGAGCACACGAAGGATATAGAAGTGAAGGGGTCCATGGTGGTAACCAACCAAAACACCTCCGGGGTGGTCAGCCTCTTTATCAAGGAGCTCCGCAAGAGCGAGGCGGTAAAGGTGTTCGGCTTGTGTGTCCGCGACACCCAGGAGAAGGAGGAGACGTGGTACCTGCTGGACGATGAGGACGCCAGGCTGCGGGTGGTGGAGGTGGCGAAGTCCTTGCTGCCTGTCTGGCTGCAGATAATTCTCATAGCCTTCCTGCTGGTGCTATCCGGCATGTTCAGCGGGCTCAACCTTGGGCTGATGGCGCTGGACCCGATGGAGCTCCGCATCGTGCAGAGCTGCGGTACCGAGAAGGAGAAGAAGTACGCGCGGAAGATCGAGCCCATCCGCAGGAAGGGAAACTACTTACTGTGCTCGCTGCTCCTGGGAAACGTCCTGGTCAACACCACCCTCACCATCCTCCTGGACGACCTCACCAAGTCCGGGATCGGCGCTGTAGTCGCCTCCACCGTCGGCATCGTTATTTTCGGGGAGATCGTCCCGCAGTCGCTGTGCTCCAGGCACGGTTTAGCAGTCGGGGCGAACACCATCATGGTCACCAAGTTGTTCATGCTGCTAACTTTCCCTCTGTCGTGGCCCATCAGCAAGCTCCTGGACTGCGTGCTGGGCCAGGAGATCGGCACCGTGTACAACCGGGAGAAGCTGGTGGGGATGCTGAAGGTCACCGAGCCGTACAACGACCTGGTGAAAGAGGAGCTCAACATGATCCAGGGTGCGCTGGAGCTCAGGACTAAAACCGTGGAGGATGTCATGACAGCTGTCGGAAACTGCTTCATGATGCAATGCGACGCCGTGTTGGACTTCAACACCATGTCGGAGATCATGGAGAGCGGATACACGAGGATACCTGTGTACGAGCACGAGCGCTCCAACATCGTGGACATCCTGTATGTGAAGGACCTGGCCTTTGTGGACCCGGACGACTGCACCACACTGAAGACCATCACCAAGTTTTACAACCACCCGGTGCACTTCGTCTTCCACGACACCAAGCTGGACTCCATGCTGGAGGAGTTCAAGAAAGGTTTGTGGACATCTTGTCATGTGGTCATGCAAGTTAGAGTAGGGGGTGCACAACATCAAATACTGTGGTGGTGGTGGGCCAGGACAGGCAGAGGCAGCCGAAGGTCTCACCTTGTTATACTTGAGAAAAATAAGCAACACTACTGCATAAAGTCCTGTATTTATAATCTTACTAAAGTATATTTAAAGTACCAAAAGTTAAATTAACAATCATACACTATAAACCGTTTCAGAATTATGTTTATTATTAGATTATAAGTGTCACAAATACAAACAAACTCCATCTTTACCAGCTGCAGTATAACCTTAATCACCTTCTGCTGTGTAGTAACCCATAACATATACAATTTATAAAAAGAAATAGGTCAATATGTCAATCATCAGTTGATTTTAGTGTTGTATAATCACATAATCTCAATGTGCAAAGTAACCAAAGCTGCCACATAAACGCAGGGGAGTAAAAAGTGCAGCATTTGCCTCCAAACTGTAGCTTAAATATATAAAATACAATGGATAAACTCAAGCAAAGAACAACTGTGTTCAAGTTATACTGAAACACAGTACATGTTGTACTTAGTTACTTCCCACCTATGAAAGTATTTGTGGTCCGGAGAGTCAGGTGTAACTATTTTCTATTTGCTTTCCTGGGAAATCCAGGAGTGACAGAACCGTGCTGTTTATTTTTGACACAGTATTTGGTTAGTCAGGATACTACCACAGGTTTTTTTTAGGCTTAGTAGTAATGTTATACGCTTACTTAACAACTTTTACTGTTTGGCGGATGTCTTACCATTTCCTCCTTTTTTGCATTGATCGTGATGGATAAAACACAAAAAGCAGCTCCAGCCGTGTTCAGCCTTTTTTAGCGGTCTGTATTATCAAGCAGTAGAGCTGAGTTTGACCTTTTTTGTGGAGCAGGTCAAACAATAACATACATTCTAGTCTTGGGGATTAGTAATTTGTGAATGTAGCCTTCCTGCAACAGGGTAAAAGAAAGAAAACATTTGGTCTTTTATGCTGTTGCTCTTATCTAGAGTGTCAGAATGATGTTCAGACGGCTGTGTTTACTATGTGCATCGAGCATTTTAATAGAAGGTCAGCTGTCTGTTAGTCCCTCTTGTGTTTTGAGTATGTGATGTCATGGTCATACACGTTTTAAATTCTCTGAGGTTCAGGAGTGATTCTTACTCAAGTTGCCATATATTATATTCAACCTGTAGTAGACATTGTTGGAAGGATTACAAAGGGAGAAAGCATGTTTAGTTCCTACAGAGTGAGGGAAAGCATTGTTGCTATAGACTAAAGCTGTGTTTTTGACAAAAATGACTGCTGAGAAGTGGTAATGAGGCTTTGTCAAAAATCAAATGTAGCCTCTGTCTTGTTTTTGTGTAGTATCAAAAACACTTCCCTGTTTTACTTCTCTCTTCTTACCCTGCTGCTTTTCCTCTTTCGAAACACACACACTTTCACAAATGTGCACGCACCCTCTCTCAAGAGGCCGTACACACACTGACGCCATCCCCCGCAGGGATATATTTTTCCTTTTCTCAGGCTTCTCATCTCAAGGTCACAGACAGTAGACACTCTTGCTGTGTCTATAACTCAGCACAGTGAGGAATAAGCGATTGTGTTTCTGTGTCCGCTCTGGCATCCTACTCTAAGACGTGACGGTAAAACCTCAATGAACTTGGTCGGCAGCGTGATTTTGTTTGTACCAAATATGATTGGCTGAAACAAGTGAACCGTATCAGATCTACCACTCTAAATTGTCTTTGAGTCGTGTTGTAGCTGTGGTGCGCAGAGCTGTGTGACATTTGGCCAAGAAACGTCTCTGCGGCTCTTCTTAGTAGGCTTGGCTGGCAAGGTGGGAGGCATTGGCAACAAACTGCAGTGCCCACACACACACACACACACACACACACACACACACACACACACACACACACACACACACACACACACACACACACACACACACACACAGGGCTGCACAGGGAGTTAAAAACAATCCACGTTTGCTCAAAGCTCGGCAGATAGATGAACTTCAAACAGTTATGAGAATAGTTGGTGTACTGTGCATAGGTGCTGTGTTTGAGGGTTATGGCAACTTTGAAAGACCTCCGCCTCTTGTTGCCTGTGGGCAGATATATACGGAAAAAGATTTTGAAGACTACAGAGCCCTGGAGGGTTCATAGAGAGAAAAATAAATAAAACAAGGCCACGTTTTATACATTTGTGCGCACGAGATGTAATTCGTGGCCTCAATTTAAATAAAACGAGGCCACGCTTTATTAATTAGTGCGCACAAGATACTTTCTTATGGTTAGACACATCGAACTGCCCGATTATTACGCCATATTATTAGTTTTATGAAGAAGATGTCCGGTCGCCAGGGCGTGTGTGTGTGTATGTTTGTGTGTGCGTGTGTGTGGGCATTTGTTTTCAGAAGATATTATGATAGTGGCGTTCGTTCCGGTGCACTCCGACAGCACTTAGCACTAGCCTACATCGAGATTAAGATTAAACTAACTTCTTTCACTTGGGAATACACATATGGAGTTAGCCAGATGTGTGTAAATTACTGTTCATGGTCATTTGAAAACAAATGCCGGTGTCGGACACACACATACACCGAACACACACACCCACACAGAGCTGAGCCGAGCAGAGCACAAACACGCACACATCATGTAGCATTTCACGTTTCCATAGCAACAACAACTTCCTGTCAACAGCGTAAACTTGCCTTCAAAATAAAAGCATCTAAATAAGAGGAAGTTAACCTAAATTACATTTAAGACATATACAACTACAACGAAAGTAACAAAAGCAATGTCATATCCTTTTCAGTTTCACAGAACACAAATTGGGTTATTTACACATCATGCGCCCTGGTGACCGGACATCTCCTTCATAACACGAGTAATAGGGGGAATAATAATCGGGCAGTTCGGATGTGTGTGTGTGTGTGTGTGTGTGTGTGTGTGTGTGTGTGTGTGTGTGTGTGTGTGTGTGTTGTGTGTGTGTGTGTGTGTGTGTGTGTGTGTGTGTTGTGTGTGTGTGTGTGTGTTGTGTGTGTGTGTGTGTGTGTGTGTGTGTGTGTGTGTGTGTGTGTGTGTGTGTGTGTGTGTGTGTGTGTGTGTGTGTGTGTGTGTGTGTGTGTGTGTGTGTGTGTGTGTGTGTGTGTGTGTGTGTGTGTGTGTGTGTGTGTGTGTGTGTGTGTGTGTGTGTGTGTGTGTGTGTGTGTGTGTGTGTGTGTGTGTGTGTGTGTGTGTGTGTGTGTGTGTGTGTGTGTGTGTGTGTGTGTGTGTGTGTGTGTGTGTGTGTGTGTGTGTGTGTGTGTGTGTGTGTGTGTGTGTGTGTGTGTGTGTGTGTGGCTAAAACGTAGCAGCCTCGATCTCTATTCAGCTGTTCTGAAGGTAAACACAGTGAAGGCGCTGCGTAAAAGGCACAGCTCTCTGCGCGCAGATAGCAGATACTGTGAGAGTCACAGACATGAATTCATAGATCAAGGCAGACTGGTTCACAGACTCTCCTGTTTTGCGAATCCGGTGCTTAAACAAATAGCTCTACACCTCTGGCCGAAATGTCCCTAAAATGAAGTCCGAGTTTGAAATATATCTCAAATAATGTATGCACTGCCATTTACCCACATAAACATAACAGTCGTGCGCACGAATTAATAAAACGTGGCCTCGTTTTATTGTATTTTCTCTCTATGAACCCTCCAGGGCTCCGTAGAAGACCTTAAAGTATAGTGAATATTCTCATGAGAAATACTGTCAGGAAAAAAGGATTTGCCATGTCAACAAAATCATATTTATTACGAGTTCATGTTCTAGGACACTTAGTTGACTTGAGATGCAGGAATTCTATTATTTGTTGCATATTCAAAAGACACTGTAGACACATTTTAAACCTTCATAAACATTAGGACTCAATGGGTGTTGCTGAAAATTGCAGAGCTTTGAGCAACTGCTCGATGTGTTCCCAGTTCAGAAGGTGTGCACAAATAGAGCACAAGAGTTCTTGTAAAATTGTAAAACCTACGTCCCATTTTGTGCCATCAAACCGGCTCTGGTGCAGGTGCTGGTAAATATGTAAATGGTAGCTCAAAATCAACCCATATAAGTTGAATATCATTACAGTTGCATACATGCATTCCATCTTGCAGCCCAATTTGACCCTTTTTTGTACAGCCAGTCATAAAGCCAGTACCATATATGTCATGTGAAGGGGGCATCCACTCCAAAGAGATAGAACACCTTGTTTAAATCTAGGAAATAATCATCTAGGAACTGTTATTACAGGTTATTATCTTCTAAAGCAGCATATTTTGGAAGAATGAGCTATGTCAGAGAATAACTTTGGATGCCTTATTTTTCTTATCTAACTGTATAACATGTACATGTATGATGAGTATTTTACTTGTACAATGTATTTAGTCGACAGGGTTGATATTCAACTGTGTCCTTGTGAAGTCTCTCCGAGCTGGTAGCATGTTGTGAATGCTTCTATTTCCTGCATTAAATATATATTCATCAATTTCTGGTAAATGTTTTGATAGACAAAGTTTGTCTAAAGCTTTTTACCGATTGTTCTTCCCACCCTCTTAACTCGACTCCCCGCTTACATCTCAAGTTCCTCTCACTTGCTGCTTAGCATCAGTTACCACGGTGATGGCATCCAACATTGTCAGTGTGCGTATACTGTACACAAACCTGTTTCTTTAAGTCGTGCTCTTTATGATACAAATATGCCCCTTCATTACAAGATTTTGAGGTGTTTACTTATATAAGCAAAGGTTCAACGCCTATAGTTAATAATAAATACTCTATAAATTGACATTTTTGTGTGTGTGTGTGTGTGTGTGTGTGTGTGTGTGTGTGTGTGTGTGTGTGTGTGTGTGTGTGTGTGTGTGTGTGTGTGTGTGTGTGTGTGTGTGTGTGTGTGTGTGTGTGTGTGTGTGTGTGTGTGTGTGTGTGTGTGTGTGTGTGTGTG